TTAAGACTACATTACATGTAAAGGCATGCATCATATCTATACTTTGTTCAATTGCCAGTAGACCAACAACATGTATTCATATTAAACCCCTCCCTTCTCAGAATTATGTTTTTGGATGGAAAATAAATCATTCAGATTTTCATTGCAAACTTTTTTATGCAGCTTAATTATTGGTATTGAATATAACCTGGAATAGTATAGACTTCTGATACCATGTGAAATTGTTGGCTCCTTAGAAGCTCTTTTAGCTACTGTGATTCCATCTTCATATATAATGTTTACAATCTGATACAGGATGTTATCTACTTTGGATACTGTGTAGCAGGTTCTTGGCTTAAGGCACCTCAGGACTCACAGTTACTAAGTTTATGGAAACAGTGGAAACCATCAAATGGATGTTCATTCATTTTGTACTGGCTATGTGCCCACCACACAGACAGCGTGAGCTACGCAATCCTTTAATCAAGAGTGCATCTATTTTTGGTCTGGACATATTCAAAAGAGGTGCTATTACTCTAATATAATTGTTAGATTTCCCAAAAAACCTTGTCTCATCTCACCCTGATTAGATAAGATACACAAAACAGAATTGGATAGGGCTTTTGAGATGAGAGCACAATAGACCACAGACCACAATACAGTTGAACCAGTTTTAAAAGAATTTACAAAACTTCTATTAACATAGAAAACATTAAAGTATCCATGAACACTCATAAAAGCAAGTCACTATTGTTGGCAGAGGATTACCAGAGTCTTGAGGAGCAAGACTAATTCATTGCATCTATTTGTACAAAACCCATATGGTATTAACCACTAGATGTTAATGAATAATTTCACCAATGTTCAAAAATGCCACCTTCAACGTGTTTCACGTCATCGCCTTATCAGGAAAGTGAGTGAAGTAATCTGTGGCTAACAAATACCAGATTGTTAATACAGCATATTCACTAGACGTGCACTGGCAAAAAAATTTGTTTAGCTTAGTTTCGTTTTGATTCGGATTTTGTGTTATTTCGTTTTTCGGGATTCGGGTGTGAAAGTAAATTCTGATTCGGACGAAATGCGTTAGCGGTACTTCGTTTGAAAGGTCGTTTCGTTTTCGTTTCTTATTCGTTTCGTTCTTTCGTTCGTTGCAGCCAAGTGAAATTAGAGGGGGAAAAAATGTTTTTCTAATTTTCTAATGTCACTTTGCTGCAACGAACAAATGAACGAACGAAACGAATAAGAAACAAAAACGAGACAAACTTTCGATTGAACTATCGCTAATTAATTTTGGAAACGGAAATTCGGATTCGTTTGCATTAGTTATATCTGTAATTCAGAATTCGGATACATCCGAATGTCCAAATTTCCGAATATTCGTCCGAATTTAGTTTCGGAACGAATCACACATGTCTAATATTCACATATGGAGATCACAAGAACATTCTGTACCCATAATCTCTTACTTTTAGGTAGTGTATTACAGTCCAAGTGATTAGGACGTAATCCTGTATTAAGAACCCAGTAGGAAATACTGCAACCCCAACAAAGAACCCTCAGGCACAGGGAAAGGATAGATAACGAGATAAATGCACCTCCAATATCTAAAGGCAACATATTTACGTCAGTGTAATCAAACTGTATGTTAACTTATTTTTAGCCATAGATTAGATTAAACTGAAGCTCACGTTAACAGGATAGGAAAATAAAGTTCCCAGACAACCAGCCCATTACTCCATATAACTTGGTTGACCGAAAAGGCTAGCCGACTGGTTGATGACCATCTCCGCCCACATGTGACCTCACTGCCCTCTTACGTTAAAGACACTTTGTATTTTTTAAAGATTCTGGATGGTAACGTGGTTTCTCATGACTCTTGGTTGGTGACTATTGATGTGGAGGCCCTATACAGCAGCATCCCACACCAGCAAGGGATCTGTGCTGTATGAGGCTTCCTAAATGAA